ATATTTAATCCAGTTTAATGACTATGACATTTGACAATGCATATTTTACCAAAGATTTTCTGAGAATTACACAGGAGGTTTAGCTTCCATAGTATTCAATGAAAAATCGCCACTGAACCTGAAGAAACAAACTTAAAGTAAAGAAAAAGACAACATAACCACAACACTAAAGGTAAATGGAAAATACATAAATTGAATAAATAAAAGTATTTGCCTCAACCCTCTACAGTTTTAAAGCTAATTTGGTGTGATGTGGTGCACAGATTATTAGGAGAGAAATCCCTTAACTTTAGAGAAATTTGATCCTCGCTGTATCAAATTGTTAATTTATTGTGGTTTTCTTTTTGTTGAGGGCAGCACTATGATCTCATGATGACTCTATTCTCAACCTTTAATTGGAGAGAAACTGTTCCATGGAGGAAAATAAATACTGTGATGGGAAAAAATAATTAATCTTAAAAAAATAACGGGTTTTATGGTAATTTGTGCCAAGCTTAACCAGCTGGATTGACACAAACCAACAGGAAAATGAATGTGCACAACATCTATATTTTTCAAATAAATCACTGAAGACAGACCAGATTTTTATTAGGGTCATGGCTGATAAATGTATGCGTATATTCATATATTTTATATAGATTTTTATGGATCTACATCATACTATATATAATGGGTTGAGCAGTATTCTTTATCTTTAATTGCAAAGAAGACTCATAGATGACTGCCTGCAGAGACAAACCCTCCCACAGCATTGTGCATAAGCTTGTTCAATGAATGCCGTTCACTGTATACATTCCTATTTTTAGTGAACTGTGAAATGAAGAAAACCAGTTTCAAAATAATGAATGTGAACGAGAGCGACGTTCACTCTGAGAATAATGAGTGAAACACAGAGCTAACATTCATGTTCAGTTGATCATGGCACCTTTCATTGGATAACGTCAGCTTTTTACGGCACTTATTATGGCATGAACAGCATGAAAGAACAGCATGTCTCCTACTAATACTAGGACGTGTCCGAATGCCCTCCCTAACCACTATACAGGACACTATATAGTGGTTACGTGATTTTAAATGAGTGTCCAAACGTGTAGTGGATGAAAAAGTATAGGATTCGAAATTTCCCACAATGCACCTTGAAAAGTAGTGATGATGAATAGTCACTAGACGAGCAGATAGTATATGCCCGAATGCTTTGCGAGGGCTCTCCTCACAAAGTAGTGATCATTTGACCGAATGGTCAGTTAACTCAGTTCACCATAAAGTCCACTATATACTCTCCGCTCTATATAGTGATTGATTAATTTAGGGGTCAGGGTGGACGCTCGGAAACAGCCCTAGGCCCAATCACAAACCAGCCCCTAAGCATTAACCCTGAGCACTTATCCTCCGTTTGCAGCGGAAGGTCTGCCACATTCAGGCCCCGTCCACACGAAGTCAAAACGAACACGAAACGCTGATATTTTCCAAAACGTTTGCCGTAAAGACAGAGACGTAAAATAAATGTGAGCGTCCACACGAATGCATGAAAACGCTGCAAAATGTATGCCAGGCCTGTAAGTGGCGCTGTGGTGCCAAAGCAAAAATAAGCGACGAAATGTTGGGCATGCGCACTAATATTTATACATGGTTGCCCTGCGGGTCCATTTTCGTGGTTCAGTCAAATTCAGGTGCTGGACTATGTCATCGATATTGCTCTGTTCTTCCTGGAGATATTCCAGAAGAAGAAGATTCTGTTGTAAGCCCGACAGCAGGGTGAGTAGCATGAGCATTAGCAGCAACGGCGCCATTGTTGTTGTGATACTGTGTCGCGCATGCGTGTTTAGAGGCGACGCTATGACGCATGCGTGTAAAAAAAAAAATGCGGTTAGAGCGTAAAGATGGAAACGCGAAAACGGCGTTTCGAAATCTTCCCACTCTGAAGGCCGAATAAAAAAAAGATCGTTTACAGACCCCCGAAACAGTTGTGGAAATTTTACAGTAATGGACATGTGAAAAATAGCAGCAACACCAGAGATGTGCAAAAAAGATGTAACAACCAGTGGAAAATGAGTCTTCACCTGTGCAGCTTTTATCAGTTGAAGGTAATTCATTACGAACAAAAGAATTAAAAGATATGGGGCTGCAGGCATTCTGCTGGGCAGGTAAGTTTATTATTATTTTATAAACGGAGCAGTGTAGTCAAGCTATTTCTCTGTAATGCATCTCTGTCAGCATGCATCTCTGTCCTCCCAGCATTTCTACGGGGAGGACAGAGATGCATGCTGGGTAAAAAGGGAGGGGCGAGAACAGCATCCGGGGATTTTGTCCGTTCTCGGTCTTGTGTTCTCGTGAATCGGAACAGTGTTGGGGCTGAGGTTAATGACTTTTCACGAGCATTAGAATGCACAAGTATATATAATGAGAAACAGCCTTAAACTTGTGCAGAACATTGAAATTGTAACATTTATGTCCCTCTGCAGCTTCCAAATTAGTCATTACGTGCTTAACAACAGTGGCCTTTTCAGTTATTTGTAATGTATTCAGTGAAACACTAGATGGGAGTAAATAATGACACTAGAGCTTCAAGTAAATACATTTTGATGCTTTTCACAATGTAAGATTTTTATTTTTATTTTTTTTAGGAATTTTAAGGCATAAAAATAAGATTGTTTTGGGTACAAAGAAGAAAAAATTATGCTATTTTTTAAAAATACAAATAAAAATCAGGTCAGATTTAGAAAATGCTACTGCAATTAAAGATAGCTTTTTTTTTTTTTACAGAGGTGTCGTAAGAGTGGAGCGTAATACGAGTGTTAATTTTCAAAGTTTCTCTCAAACCCAACATAACTTGCCAACTTGAACCAACTTCGAAATCCATGTGGAATAACCTGACTTAATGTAAATCCACTAAATATGCATTTGCCAATTATTCTTTTTACTCAGCTGCATTAATGGTTGGTCAAATCATTAAAATGACCTTGTTCAGGCAGGACCAGAGAGCATTGCTCTATCTATTATGCATCTATCTGGCTATGAATCATTAATGTGAGATGATCTGTACAGTGGAATTATGCCATTTGGGCATAAAGAGAAGCTTCACTGCTCATATAAAAACAGAAATCCAGCTATATATCCCTGTGCAAAAGTCTTATTGCACAACCAACAGGGAACATTGACATTTATATTCATTTACTAGCAGTAAAGTTTGGTTATCATAATATAGCTTTCAGATATTGTGTCTGGAACATATGCAATGTTTTAATGTGACATAATTATTGAAAAAATAAAATCTCCACAAAGTAGAACATAATATATCTAAGATGTGTTTTAGCTGTTGATTATATGTTTTACTTGAAATAAAGGCCTTCTACTGTTCATCCTTTAAAACATGTTTCAAACTGAACTATGTCTGTGATAATATACAAAGTAGTCTAGCTGTATTTTTGGAAGCATATATATATATATATATATAGACTAATTATATATATTCTATTAACCTAAAGCAGTATGCATGGTATGGTTGTTACATGTCAGGTACTCTGGTCACTGACCTTGACCGATAATTTTTGTGTGATTTTTTTTTTTGTCAACACAAACGACTTGTTACAAAACAAAGTATTCAATGAGAATATTTCATCAATGCAGATCTATGTCTTATTTGGGTGTTCCTTTCATTTTTTCTACTGTCAGTGGGTTTCTTTAGATAGAAATCTTTCAACAAATCTGTCTATATGATTTGATTTGATTGAATTGTCTCTGATTGTGTTGAGTATTGGGTCTATATAAATAAACTGAATTGAATTGACCCAAAAAGAATAAGAGTGGAACACTTTCAGGTGTGATGTCTCACTTTTAGCCTGATAAATCAGATCATAAACTTTGCTAAAAGGACAAAGGATTTGTCTGTAAACCCGTTGAGGATGGAAAATGTAATGGAACATATCTGGGATGGAAACATATTACACATTCCCATGGTTCAGCACATTGATGGCAATAGCAAAGTGTGTTTTTTTTAAAAACATTTTCTGTGGCAGGAAGTGTGCAGCTAGTCTGCATAGTGCCAAAGAAGACTCAAAATAAAGAGCACCTCCTCTAGAAAACCTGATGCTGAACTATAACATAGACCATTCCTTTTTTAAAGTGACTTGAAACACAAATCCAATATAGTAAAGACTAATTAACCTTAGCCTGAACTTTTTAAGTTTATTTAAAAATCTTAGAATATAGTTAAAGAACATTGATACCAGAAAATCCCAAAAACCGGGTTGCCTGAACATTTCCAAGGAAACTTAAGGTTTTTAATAAATTCAAGCCCAAACTGTACCCAAAAAGATTTAGATTTAAAATTATTTAAAATGTTCATTCATGGCAGAAAACGAGAAAGGCATCTTTCAAAAGAAATAAACCATAAAGGGGAATTAGCTTCTTTTTTTTTTTTTTTTTTAAAGTGTATTTACATTTTTTCAAAAGTGACATACTGAAACATGTTTTGCCATTTTTTTTAATATTTCAAGAAATAATCAGTTATCCAGTTACAACACTGAAAGTCTTATAGTTGCTTATCACCCTTTTTCCTGTTAGTATTTTAAAGAGTTATTTAAATCTATGTGGTTGTGTGATAAATTTTGCACTTCATTGCTGCAAAAAAACTTTTCAAGCCATGGAGTCGTTCACTCAATAACAAAACAAAACCATACTTAAGAAGATTCAGGCTAGGCTAACAGTTACCTGTGAATGTTTTACTGTAAATAGCCTAATGAAAATCTGTAATCCAACCACGACGATGCATCTTGCTTAACTTGTGTCCCAGGGCCTAAAATGTTTTAGTTGCTCAGTTTTGCACAACAAAAGCATCAGAAGGTTTAAAGGTCCTCTATTTTTTTTAACCTTAATCTGGCTTGATCAAACCTCATAGAGTTTAATTTATTCAGAAAACCATCTCACTGAGGACAGGTGTAGCTAAAGCACCAACAATCAGCAATCAACAGTAATATTTGTAAAAGAACAAAAACAGACAGTTTCAGGTTTTATTTTCTTCTTTATTGGCTTAAAAAAGAAAAATAAAAAAGCAAAGCTTCAGATACAAATCAATTGGTTTCCAACCCAGTGACACAGTTTTTTTTTAGGTAAGAGACACTATCAAGTAGATTTGCAAACACAACACATAAGTAAAAAAAAATGACCTTCAGTATAATCACAGCTAAAAGAGCTGGCATATGGCGGTGGTGCTGATGTGTTTACAAAATTTGGCTTTATACTGTGGACAGATGGAGGAGAAACAATCCACAGGTCCAGTTTAGAAGTAAGTACAATCAGCACAATTTACATCTGGGCATCAAAGCTTGTATAAAATAGTGAGTGAGTGTGGGGATGTGTGTGAATGGGTTAAGAAAGCTCAAGCCTCGCTCTTCTTTCTACTTCTTGGCTACGGCGTTCTCCACATTTATAGGAATGGTGGTCTCAGAGTACTCGATGGCTGGCTTGTTTATTGGCGCCTCCACAGTCAGGACACCGTCAGGAGAAAGGGAGGAGGTTACCTTCTCAATATTTGCTGTAGTGGGCAGACTAGAAGAAGGGATGATAAAAAAAAGTCACATTTGGTGCATCAGAGTTTATACCTTTACCTTTTTTCATCACATTCTCCTGGTATAACCACAAGCTTTGGTGTGTTTTTACTAGGGTGCAGTTCATTGAGCGACACAAAGTGATGCATATCTATAAAGTGGAACAACATATTGTACTATGGGTATTCACCTCCCCTTAACCTGATGCCACTATCATCCACAAGGAAAAACAGGAACACTCTTTTTTTCAGTTTAGCTAGTATATCTATAGCAGTAGTGTGTTAAAGCCTCTAGGTGGCAGCAGAGCTCAGATAAACTCATGGCTTTAACACCTGGATTCTTTTGAGACTTTTCATATCAGTTATTATAAACTCAGACAAACCTAAAATTAAAATCAAACAGAAGGACATTTTTTTGTTTGTTTGTTAAAAAACAACCTGCAATTTTTGGCTCATGTATCACACTACTAATAAGATTTTTTAGACTTTGCCTTATGAAAAGAAATTAACAAAACCAGTTAGTACTGAACAGGAATTAATGTAATGATAACTAATGGTACTTACGTGTATTTCCTGGTGAAGCTCCTCGACACAAAACCGTGCTCATCCTTCCTCTCTTCATGCTTGCCTGTTAAACAAGAAGCAAAGTTATCCTTTAGGCAGCTGGATGTTATAGTTTGAACATCTCATCAATAAGATCCAAATATTGTGCTTCAATAATAGGTTTTTAAATGTAGAAAATTAAAAAGCATGTCTCTGTGTGCACATAACTAAATACAGCTGTGTTTAGGAAGATCTAAACCTAAATCTAGCTGTGACTCGTGATCAAACCATGATCAATTAAGTTTGGTTAAACTAGAGGGGTCTGTTTAAGGCTATAATTTGTAGTTTAGTGTGTAATGAAGTCCATTTAGCTGTAATGTTTATTTCAGAACATATACATAATTAACCTTGGAGTTTTTGGTTTAAAAAGCAGGAATTAGCTTCTATTTATCAAGTGCCACACAAAACATGCAGTGTTAAACAAAAAAAAGACAAAAAAAACATTTATTATTATTGTGCTGATGAAGGTTCTCAGTCATCCAGGTCAAAGTCATTCCGTAAAAATTCAAAAAAATTCAAAAAAATATCCACTGGACTTGGTTTTCAAGATTTGAAGACGTTTTCGCCACCTCTCCAGGAAGCTCCAGTGGATATTTTTTTGAATTTTTACGGAATTTATTATTATTATTTTTATTATTATATAGTTGTTAATACTTTTATTTGATCTGTGTTGAAGTGTCTGTTAGACATGATGAATGAATAGTATCAAAGCAGAACTAACAAAGCCTTTAATTGGACATGGTTTAAGACCCAATTACATATTCTTAATGGTATTTAAGGACTCAAAAGTTATGTTTGTCAAAATATATATTATAATTTCAAATGCAAAGATAAGTCATTGTGATTTATAGATAATATACTTCATTCAATGTAGCAAAAAAGGAAAAACTAGAAACTTTAGGCTAGTAAAAGTGCATTTCTTAGAATTTCAAGTGTTGAAAGTATGAAGTTTACTTTCATAAGCTATACATTAGCTTCTGTGGGAGAAATTTAGTAAAACTCAAATGATCAGAAGTGAAAGTTAACTATTTTTTTTTTAATGTAAAGTGCAATACAAATAAAATGTATTATTATTATTATTATTATTAACTAGGAAAGTAATTTAGTAAAATGGGTATTGCTAAGTTGGTAGGCATGTGGAAATTTTTTTTTTGGTTAGAACAAGTGAGAAACCTTTGCCTCAACTTTTCGGCATTTATATTTGGCATTAAGTTTTTGTTACTATATCCAAATTGGAACATAATAGGTTTTAAGACTGACTCATAAACAAATTATTTGGTACAATGAAGTATAGCACCCAAAGGTGCATGTATGCTTATCATGATGAGAAATGTACTTTCCTCAAAGCTTTGGATAAACTAACTTCTTTCCTGTGAAAAGTTGATTAAACCTACTGACATGAGAGGAAATCTCATCAGGACCAAACTGATCATTAAAAAAAGACAAGATCTGCTCCCAATAAGGAATCATTGGTTATGAATAAGCCTTCAACAGCTGAGGAGATTATTTAGTGTGTACACTAAACTCCTAATTGAGCCGGTGATGTAAGAATCATACACAAAGTGTCACATTCTTCTAATATTGAATCACACGCTTTGTTTATCTCTGGGTTTCTATCCAGGCCCACTCTAACCCTGGAAGGCTGGCAGTCATAATTTGGGATCAGATCCAGCTGTCCTTTTAAAGTAGCAGACAGACACAGTGAGTCACTGTTAAAGACAGGATGGCCCTTTGGAACAGGGTACTCAGACAGTAGGGGCACAAGGTGTTGGGGATCAGGGTTCTTAAAGGATCTAACACCAGTGTTATATTTGTTTTAGTGGTTCAGAAACAGGAGTGGGTGGGGGAGCAGTGAAAACAGCTTTGTCCTTAGCTGACCTGCTAACAAAATGCATGCAGTGTATCTATAGGCTCCTATCCCTTGTGTAGGGGGGAGGGGTAAATTACATCTTGAGACAATATCCTGGGAGGAAAGCATGCCAGGAAAGTTCAGCTATTACACTTTGCTCTGCATATCTGAAATAGCCTCCCACAAGTGGAATGGTTTATTGTTCATCAGCCAAATACTGCTCCCTTTCATTGGGGTGGGGTGTCTTGACACAATATCCTGAGTTTCCTTGTTGTAAAACTGGAATTTTATCCAAAGAATCTGTGCAGCATTAAAGGAATGTGTTGTCCTCCAGAGATTCAACTCTACATTGTTTACAGACTTCTTACAATTCTTGTTTTACAAAGAAGACTTTTTGGTAAACCTTAAAAAAAGGAGGCATGCAGGAAGTTTCAGTGCAAACAGTGAGGTAGAAATCAGAGCTCACCAGAAATTTCCAAAACACCATCCTTGGTCTTCACTACCAGCTCCTCAGGTGAGAAATGGGGGACATCCAGGGAGATCTTCCAGTTGTCGTCTGTCTGCTTGATCTCAGACATCCCGCTGCTCATTTGCCGGGACAGGGCCCTGGCTTGGTGGGCCATCATATGGCTGGGGTGGTACAGCATTGGGCTCTGGGGCATCATGATGTCAGGGCCCATGAGAGATGGCCTCATGTATCCAGGCCAATGGGTGGAGGGGAATGCTGGGAAGTCCTCAAACACAGGTGGGAGGCCAAATGCCTGGTCAAAGATGCGGCTGGTGTGGTGCAGCTCCCTCAGGGGGTCCCAGCTGTGGGTGCGCTGCATGGTGGTGGGAATTCTTCTCTCGGCCATGCTGGCTGTAGTCGATCAGAGGAGATGTGTCTGCAGAAGGACAGCTTGCTGTGGTCTAAGCATGCTGCCTGCCTCTCAGCACAGAGCTTTTATACACTCTAAGACCCCAGCCCCCAGTCAAAACATCCCACCCACTCTACCAGTACACACCCCCAAGATGTCTTGGAAAGTACTAGAACCTCTATTTGTAGCCATTGCTGCATGTAAATAGAATCCAACAGGAGGGCGGTGCATAGTATCAGCTGCCCAGGGCTTTCAGGAGAGCCCACCCCTATCCTGTGAAGAATCCCCTCCCCTCTAGGGTCTTCTAAAAGAAACCAGAACAAGCTGGAGGGAAGCAGGATTGTTCTGGGAGAAACTCGATAGATTCCTTTGTAAACGGGTTATATTACTGCATAAATAACAACCATCTATACACAGCCTTTTTATTCTAAGCCAATAAAATGAAACACTTAGGGGGGAATTTAGATATAAGGAAATTAATCAGATGTTTATTCACCCAATTTTATTATTATTATTCTAAATTATAGACCAACATAAAGTAAGTCCATATCTGTGAAGGAAAACAATTTAAACTTTACTTTATAAAAAAAAGGTAAAAATCTGAATCTGCTATTGTCCGAATAAATACTGCAGAATTATCCCATGTTTAGAATGATGGCAGCATTATAATGGGGGATTTCTTGAGCTGGGCCATTGAAGCAGGTCAATTAATGGAGCAAAATGAACCCAAAACAGAAATGTAACTATATATGAATAATGTCATTTTAGATTTATAGTTCAAAATAATCTAGAAAAACTACAGCTTTTGTCTCCTGCTTTCCAAATACTCACAACCTTGAGATGGTCGGCCTATAATGCTTAAAAACACATTCAAGTTTTGTGGGTGCTGGGTGAGAAAAATAAAAGTGTAAATTCCTTTAGCTGTATTAGATTCTGAAATTCTCAGTGAATATTTTTTTGTGCATCCAACTTAGTAAAGGTTTAATAAGAATTTACAGATTTGTCTTTTAAACCAGAACTAGACAAAGGTTTTAATCTAAAAGACAAAATATGAAAAATTTGGGAAATGGGAAAATATTTGAGCATCTAAATTCTGACATAAAGAGCAGGATGTTGAATTGATGGGTTTGACTGGCATCAGTGGAAACCAAATAAATCTTTCTGATGCTTTCTGACTAAAAATATTATACTTTTGGTTGCATGGAGACGGGAATTCCATTTTTCACCTCATTTTTCAAATTAACCCTTGCATTGAGAAGCAATAATTAGCTAAAATTAAATGATTTTGATATTTAGCTGATCTGAAAGTATAACCTGGGTAACATTTTTCCACATTTTCAAAAATGTATAGAAGTGGAATCAAAGTTTAATAGCTGGAAATGGAGAGAGGATATGAATGGTGTCCCTTTATTGGTTTGGTGTAAATATCTAAGCCTTAAAATACTTTAGATGCTTTGAAATACAAGTTAATACACTTTATCAGGTTGAAAGTATCATGAATAATACTTCCACACACTTTTTTGCATAATTTTTAATAACAGAGCTTGAGACTTTTTGCTTTGAACAGAAACAAAATGAAACCTTCACCCACAGTGGGACTGATAATAAGCTAGCACAGTCAGTATTGATCAGATGATCTGTTTTTTTTAGCAGACTTGCAGTTTTACTGCCATGTGAGACCTCATGGTTGGCAAAACTACCACAAAAAAAATCCCTGCTCCTTTTGTTTACAGTTTACAGTGCAGCACCTCAGATTTCTCGTTCTAATAAATCCTGTGAAGCCCAATAATGGACAGTGTTTTGCAGAATTTATTTAAGTTATTTAACCGCATGCTGGGGAAAAATCCAACTTCTATTTAAAAAAAATCCGATGTAACAGTTTTGGGATTTAAAAATGGATAAAAGGGTTCAACCTTCAGGTAGTTTTACTGCAAGTGGCTGCAGATTGTAGGAAATATATTGGACATTTGTCAGGATCATGTGAAGACAAAAAACTGTGGATGTCACAGAGCTAGATGGGGGGATGGGTCTAGAAAGATCTTGACCACATGGCTGCTAAAGATAAAGGCTTTATATCTAGTACTTTTCTGGCATAAGGATTCATTTTAATGTGATAAATAAGTTACCTAACACCTTAGTCTGAACAGGGTTATCTGCTGTGGGATCATATCAAACTAATAGCAGATCTTTAGATATTAATTACCAGACATACCAATGTGATTTTGTTTCCCTATAATAGTCACAAATATTAGTGAAATGAAAACCTTCAGAAAATGCGTGTGATTTCTGAGCACTGCATGCAACCTCATGTGGTTTTGTTTATTTTATACATGCTGTCTGTTTTCTAAGGCTTTGGTTTGGAATAAATATGCAGCTTTCAGTCCTTTTAACAGCACAGTTTCATTAATAGGATGCTTATGTTTACCATGTTAAAGTCTGAAATAACAGCTTCTCTTCAGTTTGGTAAAAACAAGGATTCTTGTTGGTTTTATATGTGGGTATAAGTGTCTCTGAAAAGGCAGATTTGAAGCGGGAAAATAATGACTCTAGTTGGACAACCCCCACCCTTTTGCTGTGTTTGCATTGAGCAGGACAGGATGTGTGTGGTGGGGGTGGGGGCTGCAGCATTTTAAAATATTCCTAATGCAAAAAACATTTTAACTGAATAAAATAGTGGTTTATTAAGCGTTGGCAGCTTAAAAACCTTTACTATAGATCAAAGCTTAGTTATATCAATGCCTCATACAAGAAGATAATTTTATCTGATTCAAGGTGATCCGATTAAACCGGTCTTCTTCATAGAATTCTATTACAGGTTGAAATGTTTCTTTTTGAAACTGACCACAACATTTTGCACCACTTTCAATTTTGTTTCATTTGCTGCAAAGCCGTCTACAAGTAATATGTGACTGATAGAAGATAACAACTTTAATGCACACAACTAACAACAATATAACCAGAGTCTGCAGTCGGTTCAGAAGAATCAGCTTGGGGAGATTAGATGTTTATATTTCTGTTCTGCTGCTCCAGACAGAGAAACAGTAGGAGTAGTAGCAGTGGAATACTCCTGGAATTCATGGGTTTAGTCTAAATTGAAACCTGAAGAAGGAGAAATTCCAGGCCTAAAGGTTTGGGGGGAAGTACTGTTCTGCAGAACTAAAGTCACATGCAAATTGGCCTTCACAAACATTAGCGTGTCGTTGTTGGCCTGGCTCAGTGAGAAATGCTTGGTCACAGGCAGGAAGGTGTGAATTGTTTTGAAACGGCCTATGGCACCGTGCTGAGCTGTCTGTTAAAATCTGAGGCCTCTTCCTCTGTTTAAAGTTATCTTTAAACCGGTTTCACCTCTGCATGCTTTAAAGGTCATAACCTCCATATAAAAAAAAAAAAACAACAATTATTAAAAAATAAAAATCCAATGAACTTCTAGAGTATTGCAGAATAAAAGTATATATATATATATTTTTTCCAGATTATAAGCGGCTACTTTTTCCTCATGCTTTCAACCATGCGGCTTATAAGAAACTGTGACTTTGCTGTGGATTTTTCGAACTGTCAGAGGGAGAAGTTAAAGTAAGAAATGAAAGAATAAGGGCTCATTTTCATTTAACACAAGAACACGCTAGCAGCAGGCACGACAGAGAACAAATGTCCCAAAATCACACATTTTTGACATTCATTTGCTGCATTAAAGCTGCTGAACCAATGAAGAGACTGGGATCAACTCCTGTAGAGCTGAAATAAAGAGCTGATGAAGCCCCATCTTTCAGTAGGAGCTCTTACTGGTGCAAGCCAACAAGCACTAGGGGCTATATGTAGAGCTCCCCCTACAGGTTTGGTGGGAGACATTTCAGTAGGTATCAGCGGCTATTAGCCTGGTGCGGCTTATATATGAAAGTTTACTGTCTTTTCAAACAATTTAGTGGGCGTGCCTTATAGTGAGTTGTGCTCTTTCTGATATGGTAATCTGTAATCGCTTTATACATTTTTTGGCAGGTGTAAAATATATAAAAAAATATAAATAACCATTACAATGCCAATATTGGCATGAAAGGATTTTGTACCAACAAGGAATTATGAGTTGAAGTCCTGTGGGATGGAGCTCAGGCTTTGCTGGGTTCTGCTAGCAGGAGACGTGGCTGAGAAATAGGATTCAATTCAAGCCAATAAAAAGAAAACTAAAGTAAAACAGGTGAACATTATACCTGTACTCTTCTGTAAAGGTATATTAAATGTTTGCTAATGCTAACCAGAGAATGACATTAGAAATGGCGGACTTGGCAACCGACTGCTAAACGTGATGAGAGCCCCTAAGCGAGCGCGCCTCTTACCGACTCGGATGACTTAAACTTGTAGCCATCACCTATGAATGCATTCTGCATTAAATTAACTTAGGATATCATTTTGACTAGTTTGATGTAGGGCTGAACGATTTTGCCAAAAATCTAAATTACGATTATTTTCCACCAATTTGCGATTAAGATTTTATTGTGATTTTCCTTTTGCATTAAGCACAAGCATGTTGATGTTTTACTCCATGGTTTCAGTTTTTTCATGACCTTGAAAGCCTGATTGTCAAGAATCCAGTGTTGGAGGACTTTACTGTAACATTAGCATGAAAAAGTTCTTACTTCTACTATAATGCTTTAATCTAGGTGTTAGCTTCGACTCTCTGTCCCCTTATGTGCAACAGTATACTCACTGTAATCGTATTACCGCCACCTAAAGGGCTGGAGGGAGAAATTTACTGTGTTACACTTGTTAAATGTATTGTAAAAATGCCTCTGCGATATGAAATTGCATTTTTCTAAATTACGATTATATTTCAGATGCAATTAACTGCCCAGCCCCAGTTTGATGTTTAATCAATGTAAAGCCTCGTATCACCAATTCTCTGGACTTCTTGCCAAATGACAGAAAAACAGTCTTCATATCCGCTGCCGACGGTGCAGGAAGGTTATAGCTCCACAAATGGCAGGACTGAGAAGTTACAAAGAGGCTAAAATAATGGAGGTGGAAGGAAATCTGTAGTTTAACAACATCCTAGAGGTCTGGGGAGGGATGAGGAAGAATACTGGCTTCAACCCAAATGACTGTTTACTGCATGGGGGTCAATTGTGAAGTGCTCAATGACATCAAGCTGTTTTTTTAAGCGCTTCAGTACCACAGCCCCTGCTGGGGCCACTCCCTTCTAAAGTCATATCACCTGCAGAAGTTTTGAACGTCTCTGCAGTGGTTGGGCGGGGAAGGACTCTTGAGTATAGAGAACTGTTAACAGCTAGTGAGATGACAGGAACTGGATACTTCTGACTGAGTGGTGGACAGGAGGACAGTGAACTGCTCTCATGGCCTCTGGCACAGATGGGGAAACTCCTTCTCCTTCCTTAGCTCTACTAATGATTTAAACATTCTCCATCTGACTATAGAACGGAATTTCTCTCTGTTACAGCTCAACATGACCCCTACTCGCCATAACAGTTAATATTCCTTATATTGAATATTCCAAACATTTAAAAAAAAAACAAGTTTGAAGACATTTCGCTTCCCATCCAGGAAGATTTTTCAATTCAAAATGTCTGGAATAGCGTTAAGTTCAAGGTTCTATACAGTAGCTCAATAAAGCCTCGTTTTTGTTTTGAAAACATGCAAATTGGAACAGATGAAGGTGTCCATCCATTTGGAATGGAGGTCGTTTGGCTTCTTCTGTTAGCCTGCAATACCCCATACCCATCTATGGCCCCGTCCACACGAAGACGAACCCTGGCCTAAACGCACAAATTTTTCACCAAACCAGCCTCTCATCCACACGAAGCCGGCGTTTCGGGGGTCTGTAAACGATCTTTTTTTTATTCAGCCATCAGAGTGGGAAGATTCTGAAACGCCGTTTTCGCGTTTCCATCTTTACGCTCTAACCGCATATTTTTTTTACACGCATGCGTCATAGCGTCGCCTCTAAACACGCATGCGCGACACATCACAACAACAATGGCGCCGTTGCTGCTAATGCTACTCACCCTGCTGTCGGGCTTACAACAGAATCTTCTTCTTCTGGAATATCTCCAGGAAGAACAGAGCAATATCGACGACATAGTTCAGCACCTGAATTTGACTGAACCACGAAAATGGACCCGCAGGGCAACCATGTATAAATATTAGTGCGCATGCCCAACATTTCGTCGCTTATTTTTGCTTTGGCACCACAGCGCCACTTACAGGCCTGGCATACATTTTGCAGCGTTTTCATGCATTCGTGTGGACGCTCACATTTATTTTACGTCTCCGTCTTTACGACAAACGTTTTGGAAAATATCAGCGTTTCGTGTTCGTTTTGACTTCGTGTGGACGGGGCCTAAGTGTCTGAAAGGTTGATCGTTAAATGGGGGGATTGTAGGACTGGCTGAATAGAAGAGGTCCTCCACTCTCCTGTACATTAAATACATATCTTGAATACTTTCAAACAGTAAATGTCCTGAATGCTTTCTGTTCTTCTAATTTCAACTGGTGTTTATTCTGCAATTTCCTGATTTTATGATTAGCATTAACCCCTTTAGAATTTTAAGATTCAGTAGCTCATTTGTTGGATTGCTTTAATAAGTCTGGGTCGCCCATTACTCTGATGCAGCTTCATCTGTTTCTTTGTTGCACAATTGATAAGAGATAAGTCAGTCATAAAAGAAGGAAATAAAGAGATAAAAGGCAAAACATAGGAGTTTGATCAATTCATCTTTTGTTTATTATCAGTGATCTTCGATTATACAATACAAAGAAGGACCTGAAAACAAAAGAGACAATGATATACTGATTAATTGGGTTAAAGCTGCTTACTGAGAGTCGTACGTATGAATGGAAAAAGACCGCATGTATGGAAAGGAAGACTTTAGTGATTGTATCACCGGTTTGTTATCTTACGGGTCATCTTCTCTTGAAGGAGCTGACAGTGTAAATATACCTCGGAGTTTAAAAGGATGCCGTAAATGGAGCAGAACGTTTTGCTGCCTGGAGCACAAACAAGAAGATGTTACTTTTCTGCTTACAGCATAGAGGAGGACCTGAAGTCTAAAAAAGACGCGCTGCTGAAAAACTCACTTTAGATTTTCATTTGTATGTAAACCTAATCTAATTTGATCAGATCCTAATGCAAGATCTTTATGCATCACTGAAAAAAGTCAAATAAATTAAACAATAAATAAATAAATAAATAAATAAATATTCCAATAAATAAACATACAGATAGAATAAATTCATAAATAGTTGAGGTTAAAATGTTTGCATGGAGATAATTTGCAGTTTTCCTTTCAGGCAGCCTGACTTCAGGTTGCAGAGTACTCGCCGATCTTTGAACAGGACGTTTGCCCTCACACACACACACACACACACACACATCCACAGGTTAGTAAGAACGAAGGTAAAGGTTGGAGAGTAAAGGTACATGATACACAGCCTCCATCCCCCCTCCATTCAGACACTCAATGGCACCCTTCTCAGTCAGTAAATCCTCTTTGAGGAGAGTCTTGACAGATGTTACATGCTAAACAGACCTTCTTAAGCTAAATGGAATATACAGTGCATAGTTTACAAAGCCAGAACTTATCAGAGTTTAAATCTATACAGGCATATCTACACAATAAAAGTTGTAACCATAAAAAAAGTTGTTTTTTTGTTCCCTCATTCATCTGTCCGGGTTGCTCTTTGTTCTGTTTGTTGACCTCTCCTCAGTAAAATGGATGTCTTTGGAGGGATGAGCACATGATGGCAGGTAAGACAAATATCTGACTGGTTTCCTTTTGTCTGTTTTTGTTTTCTATTCACCTTCTGTTTTTAAGATACACATATGTTTCTCTATATTCATGAAGCATGTGTTTGTTGACCCACTCACTTCTGGCTGCCTTGTGGAGGATAGGATGGAAAATGCTGACTGACTGTGTTGGGATTTGTTCCTTCGGCTCGGTCACCTGATTTCTGAAATAGGGAAGCTGTTCTTTCTCTTTGTGACTCAAGATCAGAGAGAGTTTGATTCAAATGAATGTGCTATAATAAAATACATCTGTCTTTGTTCAGGATCTGTGCTGGAGACAAAGTCGTCACTGATGGAGGAGTTTGGACTCTGGACTTTCCAGGCGCTTCAGTGGAGGACTTATTCTTGCCTTCATCGTCTGTTTGCTTTAGTGTTCTTTGTCCCTTCCGCCATCTGATGCATTCAGAAGCCCGGGCTGTCGTAGCTGCTGCGGCTGTAGTAGCTGTGGGAGCGACTCCTGCTGCGGCTCCAGCTCTGGCTACGACTTTTGCTGCGACTTCGGCTCCAGTTCCTGCTGCGGCTCCGGCTCCGGCTGTGACTCTGGCTCTGGCTTCTGGTGCGGCTGTAGCTGCTGTAGCTGCTGTAGCTACGGCTGCGGCTGGACCGTGATGGGCTGCTGTCGTAGCTGGACGACGAAGGACTGGGCCGGTAGTACGGGATCGGGCGCTTCCGAGCACTGGTGTGGAGAGTGGGGAACGGGAGGGGATAAAAATGTCGGACAAAGAAAGCAGTGTGACAGGTTAGAATGAGGGAGATGTTAAAATATTAAGATGATCAGGCTGTTATCTGAGACAAGATTAGCAGATCAATGTTAGATTCCAGAAACGGTAAACAAGTGCAGCCTCTGAAAGAGATTAGATATGTGGGTTATAAACAGCTCTCCATCCACACAAGGAAAACACCTTTTGTTAGTTAAAGCTGGAATCATTTGATTTGTTAAAAGGAATCGTGGGATAGCTTCCTGTAAGGTAATTAGCTGTTAGCTACTAAAGAACCCCCTGCTCTCTGCAGAGCACATCACCAACACATACAGACATTCATTATGGGACCGATAGATGCTATCAAGGTGGCTGACAAGTCTTTCATTCCTATCTTTCCATCAAAATTGATTGCTTAACACTTTATAATTGGATGCTTTAAAGGATCCATGATTAGCTGTAACGATAGGATTTATTTGGAGTAATATCTATTGTTGATGCGAAAAAGTCAAAATACTGTCAGCTGTTTAGCTTTAATGCATTTAAATAAAATACTGTCACATGGACATTACAAAGCTTTTTACACTGCAATGCATTCTGGGTAAACAATGTTTGCTAGGGACTGTAGCATTATTCACTATTTCACATTATGAAATTAAATCAATAGATTTATTTTCATCTAAATTTCTGTAAGCAATATTTGACTGATAAGATAACAGTTGTGAGGCACCAGAAGAAAGAGAAATTCCAGGCCTAAATGTTTTTTTTTGTTTTTGGTGGGGGCAAAGTTCTGCAGAACCAAAGTCAAATTTTTTTGTTTTAACAGATAAATCATGAAAACTTTGAGGCAGTGTGGCATTTTCTAAATGTACACCAGTCAAACGCAATTTGATTAAAAATAACTTTGGTACTGTTAGCCTTCCTGTAAGTTCCAGTCCAATTATGTGTTTTTATGTTTCAATTCAGTTTATTTATGTAGCGCCAATTCACAACACATGTCATCTCAAGGCACTTTACAGTTCAACCAGATCATCCAGTCAGATGGGTTCAAAGTTTTCTATCTAAGGAAAACCAGTTGATTGCATCGACTCATTGACTCGAAGGCAATCCCTCACACTAAGTATACTTGTAGCGACAGTGGAGAGGAAAAACTCCCTTTTAACAGGAAGAAACCTCCAGCAGAACCAGACTCAGTGTGAGCGACCATCTGCTGAGGCCGACTGGGGTTCAAGGAGACAGAAGCAGAGATACAGAAAGCAGCTGTGAAAGACGGCCCCATCCAGGAAACACACAGCCAGGCAGAAAATGGCTATTTTTAAGTTAATTGCAACATATTTAGGCAAAAACGTTCAACTAGTCATGGATCCCTTAAGAGAGGATTCACTCCTAGCACTACAATCGGACTCAAACGGTCTGAGCAGTGACTGAAACTAGTGGCACTTATGTTTGACCAACCCTGAACAGTAATGAACTGGAAACCAACAAAAAAAAAAAAATCTGACCATTTGTTAAGACAAATGAATGCAGCGTAAGTGCTTCAATATTGTGCTAACACTTTTCAGTGTAAAAGTATAAGTCTCAAAATTAGCTTTTTTTTTTTTTTTTTTTACATTTATAAAGTTCATAGACATCTGAGAATTGCCAGCTGTGTTTTTTTATTGGCTTCTACCTGTAAATATGGCTCAGGTTAGTTTATTGGCTCAATAGTTTTTATTTATTTATTTAATCTTTAAATCAGTTTATTTTTTATCAGTAAATGGAGATACTATTGAGTAATGCTAACTGTACTAGTTGTGCTACTAGTTACCATGGATGCTACCAGTGGTCAGTTGCAGAAACATTTTATTTTTGTTTAGGAAATCCTTTTGTTTCAAATCAAAGCTGCTTAACATGAGCTGATATCTCTCTCACACAGTCACAGTGTGGAATCTACTTATCATCTATGTACCTAATGTTGATGATTAATGATCAATCACAGTAACACTTTATTGCTAATTTGTTACAGTATATGAAAGGATAATTTAAAATCACAAATAATAATAAAAATTTGTTATTATAAATATCTGTAATATCCGTTATTATTATCCATTTTAAATAAGATGGAAAATTAGCTTTGATGTGATTTCGTGATCTGATGCAGATTTTCGGGTGTGAAAATAAGAGCATTCGGAGTGTCATTTTCTTTTTTTAGATAGATCCTGAATAAAAATTGTAATTTAACATTGTTACCAAATGGACAGGACTAAAAATTACAAAAACTTTCATCACAAAAGATTGGAAATTTGGAATTGGCCACAGCATCTCTGTTTGATGCATTTTCAAAATAAAAGCACAGCCATTAAACCAGAGGGCTGACGGCAAAGGAAAAGCGTTTGAATTAATCTGAGAGATATTTTCTCTGTAAATTACAATAAAAATCAATAAATAATGATTTTATTGTTTTTTTTATTACCTTGCTTGTTATAAGAATAATAAAAAAATTTTTAAGGTTTTTTTCAATATAAAATCCTGTGGTTTGATTCATAGCAGGTCAGAAGGTTAACCTTTTAGACCTTTAACAGTCTGCTCAGAGCGTTCTCATCCATATGTCTGTTAGTGCCGGGTTTGAACAGGTCCTTCATCTTCTCTATACAGGATTCTGATATCAGAAATCACAACCTGCATGTTGAGAATCATTTCAGTGTAAATAAACCTTGATAGCATTTCAATCCTTGCATCCCTGTGCAGCAACATTAGTGCGTAACGTCAGTGGGGTGTAGCTTCAGGGCTGCCAGTTTCAGAGATGTGATGAAGAAAAAGAGAGAAAGGACAGGCAAAAAAAAGAAAAGCAGAAGAGGATGAGTCCAGGTTTACTCAGGGGAGCTCTGATGGTTTGATGTTCAGCTGAGCTTCAGGGGTCAGAGTAGCAGGGCTCTGCTGCACAGCAACTGTTACCAGGGTAACAAGCCTGCAGCATTCGAATTCAGCAGCATCCCGCTGTCTCCATGTGAGGACCTTTAGGACTGAAGCAAACATGACAAGGCATTCTCATTTCACTCATTACATCTGTTTACACTTGCTTACGGACAGGGAGAACATCAACAAGTGGTTGATTGAACAGGAGTGGTGGAATATTCCTTTAACACGCAATGCAGTCATCATAAAGCATATTCATGTGGAACGTCATCACACGGAAATAAAAACATTTAGTGAAGAACTAAAATAAGTGTGATATTCACACAGGATCTCTACAAACACAAAGCTATCAATACATTTAAATCTAATTAAGAAATCAAAGTAAATCCAATGGTTAGTTTATGTGTATTAAATCAGAATGTTACAGGGAATATGTGTTCAACACACAAAGAAGGGAATAAAAAAGAAATAGTAACCAGCGGAAATCTGTCAGTTAGATTTAAAGGTCTCACGCTGCCAATCATTTTTACCGAGCGATAAGATTGGTAAGGCAAAGATATCTTCACTTTAAACTTGGTTGGATTTGCAGTCCTATACGTCACAGTATTGCACTGGGAACATTGGAAGCCATGACGTCAAAATCAAATGTTGTTTCACAATAACTGCATCTATTGTCCAGGTGAAGATCGAGGTATTTATACTCTACTCCTTCTCCCATGATGGAGATACAGTTTGACCTGTTCCTGTTATTTTGACACCTACAATCATCTTTGTTTTAGTCAAGATGATGAATAAAACAAAGCAATCCATCAGATCCCTTTACGAGTGAATAATTTTGTTTTCTTAGTGATGAGGAGCTGAATGTTTCATAGGTGTTTGTTTAACCATTGATTAACAGGGCAATGAAAGTTTAAGACAACTGAATGAATTGTTTCCTTCATTATGATCTACAGGGAATGAACAGAATGAATAATAAACAGTCTGCATTAATTCATAAATAAAAAGTGTTTCTAAGGGATCTTTATACCATTTAAAATATATCAAATTAACTAATTAGTAGTTAGCTCCCCTAGCCTGTCATCAGCTCCATCCATCTTCCTTTCTCTGTAACCAGCAGCACTAAGGCGAGGCGCTGTCGCCACTAGATGTCACCGTGGTGATGGTGTTACAGATTAATTTGCACCCAGACGTGGGTAGAGTACTCTCACATTTTAACTGAAGAAAGTATCGTGCTAGTTTAACAGCGGTTTTTACCTTTTAACTAATGTATCGCTTTATTTAACAGTTAACCTGTCTGTCTGTCTGTCTGTCTGTCTGTCTGTCTGTCTGTCTGTCT